GGATGAAGCTTATTGGCCTGTAGACAATGGGAAGTTGATTATCCCACCGTTACACTTAAAGCGCACCAAAGGTCGTCCTAGGACCGAAAGGATTCACAATGAAATGGACCAATCACAACGTGCCCGACGGGGTCCAAAGCGTTGCTCAAAGTGCAGACAACCGGGTCATGACAAGAGGCGTTGCCCAGGTCCACCTCTAGAGCAAGATTCGGCGCCAATTCCGAACCTACCTTGATGTTGTTGTTGTTCACTTCCTTGTTTTAATCTTGTTGAGTAGTTTTCGTTGTTGTGATGTTTAATTTGGACTTCTTGTTTTAATCTTGTTGAGTGATTGTAATAAAGGGCGTTTGTTGTTCATTTTGGTACAACATGGGGGTAAAAACCAACAAAATTTAGCCGACAGATAGTTAATGGAAAACAACACAATCCGAAACCAAATTTAGAAACATAGATAGTTCATGGAAAACAACACAAGCCCCAAACCAAATTTAGACGACATGGATAGTTCATGGAAAACAAAAAAAGATGGAACTAAATTAGAACGACATAGATAGTTCACTGGTTGTCTTCATTTCCCTCCACTTCCCCTTCTCTTCCTCTTCCTCTTCCTCCACGACCTCCTCGGCCCCTTCTTCCGCCCTCTCTACCTCCTCCTCCTTCTTCACGAGCCCGCTGGACAACTGCGCGCGGATTCCTCTTAACCCGACCACCCACCGGAGTGTAGACAGGTGGTGGGGGTGGAGGTTGCTGAGTTGGACCAGAAGTGTGGTAGAAAGTCGATGATGTATGTTGCTGTTGCGGGGTCTGATACTGAGTAGTTTGTTGCTGATGGTGGAACTGAGGGGTGGCTTGGGTGAACATGTCATGCTCCATCGTCGGGGCATAGCTTGACGACCCTCCGGTTCCCTCAGTACTAGTAGCCCACTCACAATGTGGCCATGGTTGAGGAAGTTGAGTTTGCTGAGACGGACGAAGCTCATCAATGTGTTCTCTCACCCTTCTTCTGCTCCTCCGTGGGGGCTCTTCTGGGGGCACAATCCTCTCATCAGCACGGAATGAAGGTCGGGCCGGAGCAGGCACTGGAGGGTATAATATGACATCCCTCCTTTGCTCTCTGGTACAACAGAGCAAGTTGTTGAAAAGCCTGCGCAAAAAAGATGTCTTCCGCTCATCCATGGTGGGTGCACTCTCGACGGTGTGCTTCGCATGCTCCAAACCGTCAACCTAATAAATTGTTTTACAAAATTAACTAATAGTAAATCTAATAATGATTTCTATCATCTAATATAGGCATGTAATCATACTACAAAAATTAACTAAAATTAACTCTAATAATGTTAATTAACATTCTAGCAAATATAGGCATGTAATTATACTACAAAAATTAACTAACATTAAATCTAATAATGTTAATTAACATTCTAGCAAATATAGGCATGTAATTATACTACAAAAATTAACTAAAATAGGCCAAAATGGAATTCACTTACCACTGCGCCCCAAACAGCACCTTGCTTTGACACCCATCTTAGCGTGAAGTGCCGATACCACCGCATGTAGCCATCGTGGTACCCCATTGGCCTTGTCTCCGGCGCCCCTTGGACCACCCACTGATTTCTATTCTCCCATATGTTGATGTAGAATTCATGTTTGCGGGTCCAATCCTTTTTGTTGTAGCGTAGGTCAATGGCGTGGAGCTCCCTGAACCCTTGAGGTGGGGATGCTGGAATTGGTTGCTCCAATCGATATTGCCTCAAAGATCGATCGGGCAGGTGCCACTCCACCATGTGCCAGCAGATTAAGGGCACCTTGCACAACCATGTCTCTTGATCCTCGGGATGTCTAAGACGATGCAACTCAACCACTTCATTTGGATATGGATCCCATACCGCCTACAATCATTACAATTCACGTAATTAGTAAAAATTATATCCACTCCACCTAATAAATTTAAAATCATGACATTCAATATTTTTACCTGGTTCCACCAAGGCTTATCAAATTCAGCACGATAAAACAGTAAAGAGTGCTCGGCCTGGTGGTCGTTAGTATTTGCTCCGATCCACCTAATTAAGCAAAAGTACATATATAAGCAATTTTTAAATTAGCTAAATACGATTTGGTTAGAATAAATCCAAATTCACTTACTTGGAAGATATCTAAATTCACTAAAATACTAGAATTGCAGACCTAAAATGTCTCTAAATTCGCTTAGTTGGAAGATAGCTAAGTTCACTAAAATACTATAATTGCATACTTAAAATTGCATACTAAGTTCACTAAGTTCACTAAAATCTAAATTCACCTAACTAGCTACCATTGCATATCTAAAATAAATTCAACTTAAATTGAACTTACTTGAAACCATATGGGGGATTTGCTACAAATCGTAGCTCATCATCTGGCAACCAGAATTCCCGAGGGTCTTGAGGTGCGAGAAACGGAAGATGCTCCCATGCCCAGAGTTGAAGTATGAACATCGCACCACCAGCTTGTTTCGCTCCCAACCTCGAGCAAGTACACAACTCTCGGTAGATTCCAGCCAAGACGGCCGACCCCCAACTTTTTCTCCCGATCTCGTCCCAGTCACCGAGGAGCATAGGGAACCACATGCCTTGTATCCACTTATTTGACTTGTCGGGGAACAGAAACCCACCAACCAAGGCAATTAGGTATACACGTGCATACCGCTCCACCTGATCTTCAGGAGTATCCAGGCCTATATTAACCTCCAATTGGATGTGGTCAACAAGCCACGGGATCGATACTTGCCCCGCATTCAGTGGTGGATGCCCAACCCCTTCGACGGGCGTGGTGGTCGGCATGTTGAACCCCAGACGTTCCTGAATCAATGGCCCCCAACCATCTTCTGGTTTTCTCGAGCTGTCGATGATGGCATCTCCGGTGATCGGGAGCCCGGTGAGGATGGCAACATCTTTGAGGGTGATCGTCATTTCACCCTCGGGAAAGTGGAAGGTATGCAGCTCAGGGCGCCATCGCTCTGTCATTGCCGTCAGCAGATCGTTGTCAATATCTAGCCTCATAAAGTGCCTCAAATTGTGCAATCCCGCCCTCTCTAGATAGGGATGCAGTCGAGGATGCCAACGGGGCAATCGACATGTACCTCGATGACTGATGGGAATAAGTGATTCCTACAAAACAAAAAACACAATATTGTCAGTCAATAGAAAGCAAAATAAAAACTTAGAAAGCAAAATAAAAACTTTAAAACTATTGAAATAATTGTAGTGTATCTACCGGATTATTGTTCCAAATTGAACGAGAGCGATGTTGATCTTGCCCGGTTAAATACCTTCGATCCCTTGGGCCAGGATCGATATACAATCTAGGGTCGTATATCTCAGCACCCATCTATAAAAAAATATGAAATCAAATCAATTTAAATTTTAGCACCCATGTAAAAAAAAATGCACAAAAGAATTAAATAAATTTACGTACTCTCAAAGCCTCTTCGTCCATTTTTTGCCGAAAAGCTAGCGAGAGTATCGACAAAACAACAAAACAAAAACTCTAGTAATTCTTTCTGATGCGGAAGATCGGACTTAGCCGCAACCACAGAGCATACTTAGAACGAAACTAGAGTGAAAAATGGAGGGAGAAAGAAGTATGAAGTGGTGGTGTGGTTTGGAATGAGAGGGGGGATGGGTAATTTATAGGGTTTGGGGCTGGGAAAAAACCTGGCCAGTTATCACCGCCCCAAACAAACACAGCGCCATCACCGCCTTTGTTGGACGCGGTGATGTGCAGGGATCGCTGACGTGGCCTCTCCTGATGCGTCGGATTGTGGAGAAAAACCACAATCCGCGCATAACTGCATCCGACGGCAGCGGTGAAGGCGCGGGGTGGGGGGCGGATCGCTGACGTGGAAAGCGGGGCTATCACCGCTTTGGTCTTCAGCGGTGAAGTGCCCGCGCGCGTCCACGTCAGCGATCCGCGCCCCTTCACCGCTGTTGGATCCAACGGTGAAGGCTTCACTGCCTGCCACATCAACGGTGATGCCATCACTGTCGTCCTTGACAGCGATGATGGCATCACTGCTTTGGTTTAAAGCGGTGATAACATCACTGCTTTAGTCTAAAGCGGTGATGTATCATCGTTTTAGACCAAAACGGTGATCAACATCACTGTCTTAGACAAAGACAGTGATGTTGAAACTGCTGTATTTTGGGAATTAGTTTTATAAGTACTGTATTTTGGTAATTTTTTTTAATAATTGGTATATTCTGGGATTTTTTCCCCCTCTTCCCTCCTGCAAATATTATCCTCCCTGTCCTCTCCTCCCGCAGCAGAACCGTTGTCGGCAATCTCCATATCCAAAGTTTCCATTTCCAGCAGCAACACGCTAGCCCAAGAGAACGAACCGATCTCCGAAATTGGCATTCCCACAGCTTTATCGTCTTCTTCCATCTCCCCCGAGGTAATCGATTCTGCCTTTTTTCTTTCCGTTCGGTCGGGTTCGTTTCCTGGCACATAGAGATGAATAGGAAAATATGGAGCAGTCAGGGGAAGATAGGGAGACTCAGAGGTGGACTTTTTGCGTTCTAATTGTTATGATCCGTTGCCTGCACCTGGCGCATGTTCTGGAATTCGGGAGTTCAATTTCCATGGCCTTTTGATTTGCTGCTGATAGAGCTTCAGGGGAAGGGAGTAGAAGAGTTTTAGGTTTCTTATGTCGGTTGGGAACTACTTTGGGAGGTTTCAATTGGTGTAAGATTTGCTGCAATTCTTTCGTTGTAGTGCTTGTTAATTGCAGTGTTATTCGTTGGATTAGCCTTCAATTCTTCTGTCTGCTCATTGATGGCTATCATCTCATTATTGTTGCCCTCCGTTCGGCAGGTGTTTCATTTGCTCTTTGTAATTCAATATCTGGCGTCAATATTGGGTGTGAATCTTTAGAGGCACGTCCTTTCTAAGTTCAGCAAGTTGATACTTTGCTATGATATTGAGCCACCGTCAGCATCCTCACTTTCACTTCAATCATGGTCTGCATGAGTTCGATCCAGTTGTCTCGGGAGTTGAAGATCTGTAATCGCCACAAGCCTACCACATTTTATGGCGTAAGGGACTCATTCTTCAATTTTTTTTTATCTTTCATGTTGAGTATCGATGAAGTCGAAGCGTCACTTTCGACTTGTTAATTGATGGTGTGTACATGTGTATTTACCTCTACAGGGCGCATCAGGAAGTGGTAGTAGAATTGATTTTGTTGGCTTCAAGCATTCTTCTCATGGTTTAGTACGTCTTCTAATGGCCTTGGGGACTCTGTATTAGTTAACTGCTTTTCTTGTAGCCTCGTTAATTGTTTGATTCTGCACCAGTTAAGAAATGTGCCAATCTTTTGCTTATCAAGGTTATCCGTGGTTCAAATAGATTTTTACTTTACTTGGTTGAGCGCCTCACTAATTTTGTTCTGAAGCCTACTTATTGTTGTATCTATCAGTTTGTAATTGTTGAATTTGTGGTTTTTTTTTTTTTTTTTGCATCTTTAGAGGCAGGATCCTTGGAGTGTCCACCTTCTGAACAACATACACCACGCACCTATAAATCCTGCTTGTTCCAGATTTAAGGTCTTTATCTGCCAATCTGTTTTAACACCAGGTGGAGGAAATGGGAATCCTGTTCTGGAATCTGCAGCCGCACTTGTGACAAGGTAATTTCGTTTTGCCTTTTGCATTTCGTTAGTCTCATACTGAAGTTTTCTTCTCAAAGTCGGCTTCTGGAATTTGTGTCCAATCACAATGTTGATATAGTCTCCATTTTTGGTATATTTTTCTGTAATTACTTTTGCTGTGACATGGAATAGGGGTTATCTGATGTAATTAGTTTTGTAGTCTGGAAACCTTTTTTTCTGTTAGCTCCCTGTAAGAATGTGGAACTAGGTAGGATCTTAGCTTAACACGAGACTTTGAGAAAGTGAAACTTCCAAGGACCATAAGAACCGTGAAGCAAGACTTCTTTTGTAGTGATTCTTCTTATTGAAGAAAATATAAAATTGTTATTCTTAAAGAAAAGTAAAATACAAATTGTTAGGTAATACTTGAGAAGACGAAAGATTTTATAGAGTTCACAACATGTGAAACCCACCAATAGACTCCACACAAGGAAATAAGAAGAGTGAATCAAATATCACATTTCTCAAATGAAATAATCATCAAAGAAATGAAAAAAAATTAAGTAAAGACATTTTGGCGAGTAGCCTCAATCTTGGGTTAATGCCACATGGAAAAGAAAAATAGTAGCCTCTAGAAGTCTTGGTCATAGCCGGTTTTGACTTTTGGGTGTAAGAAAAAGGTCCTGCTGGGTACAACTTGAGGTGCTTGTCTAGAAGAATGTTTCATGAAATCTCTTAACGGTGGCTTTGATTCTACTTGTCTTGATATTTACCATGGCCTATGGTCACCTCCGTAAAGCCACCCTTTTCGCAATCTCAAACTTCGCTCGCCTCATCTTGCAACTACTCTAGGGCATATACTTTTAGGGTTGTAGTACTTGCCAGTCACAAGAAAGATTATTCACTCTTACCTGTCATAGCAAGGAACAGGTTGATCTTATGCCCAGGTTATAATGTCAGAAGGACTCATGTTGACGATTTTAGCTCTTACTTTCTTTGTGTTGATTATTCTGGCTCCTACTCAAGTCTAGTTCTTCTTGATTGCTGCAGGTCATTTGATACTTTAAGCGGAAGCCCACTTCTGCTGAAGTTGATCCCTGCAGTTGCTGTCATTGCTTTTGCTTCCTGGGGCATTCAGCCACTTGCTCGTTTAGGAAGAACCATTTTTCTCAATGTACTTTACTCTTTATCCTCTTCCTATCCCTATGCAAAATCGTATTTGGAACCCTTGATCTGAAATAAAGGTGTTGCAGATGAAAGACAGGCAATGCCAGACTCATATTGTGTCCAAATTCGTACTTGCTGTGAAAAATTCTATGTACTTTTATGCATATTGACTTTGATTGATTAGTACTTAATTATCGTTTTTTCTTTAGTGATGCCTGGGTACATTGCATTCATTGTACTTACTGCTTAGTTCTTGATTATCATTTTACCGATATCAATGATAAGCGCACGCATTGCGCATTGCTTTATTTTATGTGGATGGAAATATAAGACTATTGTCGGTTCCTCTCCTGGTCAACTTCTTTGTGATTTTCTCTTTCTACATCTTCTTCGCAACATATTTAATGCCTTTGTGTCTGTTTCTGCTCTCCCTAGTTTCTTTTTTTCCACTGGTTTGGTGGGCTATTTCCCTGACTTGCCTATGTTTTCTAATGTTTTGCAGAAATCCGACAAGAACTCTAACCTAAATGGTATTTACTACGCAATTACCACTTATCTTAAGCCTCTCCTACTGTGGACAGGAGCAATACTCATCTGCAGGTACTAACGATGACCACATATTGATTATGTTACGCTCATCCAGTTCCAGTTTTCCTATTAGTACTAACGATTGCTACTAATGTCAGAGCCCTGGATCCAGTAGTTCTTCCATCTCAGGCAAGCGAGGCCGTGAAGCAACGTCTTCTAACTTTTGTACAATCATTATCAACTGTGCTGGCTTTTGCATACTGTTTATCAAGGTGTGTATATTTGGTGGGTACCTGCCATTTTGAGAATTGGTGACTTCATTTTTCTATTTTACCACTTCTGCTTTGAGTTATTTTTAGTGTATGATGTGGATTCCGCTACCTGTTTTTTTATGGATGGTCTTTTGACGATGCATGATAGCCTGGGTTCTTATCATCTTGAATTCTTATTTTGACTTCTCTCTTCATTTCTGGTATGATCTGGTTTATTGAAATGAGTCTCCACTGGTTTTTTTTTCTTCTTCTTCTGGTTCCAAATTCTGTTTTTAATCATGCCCATGCTCCTTTTCCTGTACAGCTTGATTCAACAGGTACAAAAGTTCTCCACAGAGACGAATGATTCTAGTGATGGTGCAAGAAATGTAAGTTCTCTTACCTTGGGTTTTGCATGCTAATCACTTGTAGAAGATAGCAGTGAATTAGTAGACACTGATTATAAAGTTGTTCAACTTTACTAAGCTAACAATGAATTTTTTGTACTTCTTTTTGGGAGCATGACTAACATGCAATTTGAAGTTCAGTTACCTTGCTTTTGAAGAGCAATTGTCTGACCTTATAATGTGGGGTTGAGATCATATTTGAACCCGTTTTAGTAATACCAGCTAGTGCTCTTTGAATTTGGCTTGCAGATGGGTGTTAGTTTTGCTGGAAAGGCTATTTATACTGCAGTTTGGGTTGCTGCTGTATCACTGTTCATGGAATTGTTGGGATTCTCTACCCAAAGGTGGCTGACAGCTGGGGGTCTTGGTACAGTATTGCTCACCCTCGCTGGTCGAGAGGTAAGTAAATCCTTTTTGTCAACAAACATGCTACTAGTTGCTAACATAAATCCAATTACCTTTTGTGATACTAATAGGTTCGTGTAGAGTTTTGCCAGCTGATTCCCTTCGGCCTTCTCATAACTAAAGGTTCCTTTGGTTGTTTTCTGTATCAGATATTCACTAATTTTCTCTCAAGTGTAATGATTCATGCAACTCGCCCATTTGTTCTCAATGAGTGGATTCAGACAACGATTCAAGGTTATCAGGTTTCTGGAACAGTTGAGGTGCGTAGATTAGACTGTCATCACTAACTGCTAACCTTCTCCCTCCATAAACCACCTTTAGCTTAAGTCGTAATGGAATGTATAGATAATCAATCATTTGTTATTGCGCCCTGTTTCTGCAAGTAATTTTTTTTTTTTGTATTGGTTTAGCATGTGGGATGGTGGTCACCAACAATTATTAGAGGAGATGATCGAGAAGCAGTTCATATCCCCAACCATAAGTTCACTGTTAGCATCGTAAGAAATCTCAGCCAGAAGACTCACTGGCGCATCAAGACGCATTTTGCCATCAGTCATTTAGATGTCAACAAAATCAATGTAAGAAGCTTTTGGCATTTGCTTGTTGTGTAATACTTATGTAAAGCTCTTGGTGAGAAGTTACCTGAGACATCTCGTTCGTGCAGAACATAGTAGCTGACATGCGCAAGGTTTTGTCTAAAAATCCACAAGTAGAGCAGCAAAGATTACACAGAAGAGTTTTCCTTGAAAATGTCAATACTGAGAATCAGGCTCTTATGGTTGGTCACCAGTTATATTATATACACCCATCCTTCTCTTTAATAATTTTCTCCCCCCATTTTCTGATTTCGTGTTTTGGTGCAGATACTTGTTTCATGCTTTGTCAAAACTTCGCGTTTTGAGGAGTATCTCTGTGTCAAGGTAAGGCAAAAAATTAGCAACACCTTATCTGATGTTCACACCATGTCACAAATTTGGTTAACATGCATACAGTCCCTGTAAACACGACGGACATTTTTTATTGCATGGAGGAATCTCGGCCATTGCATCACAGCATTGTGATGCGTGTTGATGCAATGCTTGAGATTGCTCCATATCCCCGATCAGATGGTGTTAGCTTGTGCTGATAAAGATGCAGTTTACATGTATCATTTATACAATGTGTAGCTGACAGCTATTATTGACACTCCAGGAAGGCATACTATTGGATCTCCTTAGAGTCATAAGCCACCATCGAGCTCGGCTAGCCACGCCCATCCGTACCGTCCAGAAGATATATGGCAATCCTCTTGATCTGGATAGCATGCCGTTTTCATCACCAAGAGAAAATACTAATAACCGCTCGCTGTTGCTGGTTGAACCTATGTATAAAGTCAATGGTGAGGAAAAAGGCAAAGCTCCTGGTCGTGGAGCGAGGCCTAGCGACGAGAAAGATGTCAAAGCAGAAGAAGCCCCCTCGACACTAGACAAGGCGACCAGTAGTCCACCACCATCTGATAAGCCGCCAACGAACTCCATTTTGAGCAGTGAACCTTCTGAGCAGGTTGTGGAGAAGTCTGCTGCGTCGACAACTGCAAGGCCTACCTCGTTGGAGGAGAACATAGTACTAGGAGTTGCACTGGAGGGGTCGAAGCGGGTGCTTCCAATTGAAGAAGAAGACGAAGAAGAAAAAGAGACAACTCCTCCATCTGTCGAAACAAAGGAGCTAGCTGCTAGCAGGAACGGAGGCGGATCATCATCTCCTAGCAGTACTGATAAAAAGGACAAGTCAGACGTTGACAAGCCATAGTTTCTCAGGCGACGGCAGATTGAGTGGGGAGTGAGATGATTAGTAATGTAGCATATTGGTTTTATTTTTCGTCGTCGATTAACTTTTGTGCAGGAAATGCGGCAGCTGTGTTTTTCAAGCCTGGCGTGTAGGAGTTCATTCGAGCCTATTTTATTTTCCTATTCCCCTTTTGCCCGTGTCTGTGTGTATAGCTTTCTGTAGCTCTGTGGAAAGATGTGAAAATGCAAGTACAGTAGATCAGAAGTTCAAAACTAATGCGTTATAAAACATATGTATTCTCTCCTAGTAGAAAGAAGTCAAGAACCAGTTTCTTCGTTTCTAAGCCACTGCCACCCTTGTGAATCTGTCAATATATATATCGAAATAGTGAGCTACTTGACGTCCGTCGGCCGTCGCTGACAGAACTGCAGGCTGCAGTTGCATGAATATACAAGTTGCAGAAGCCAGAAAGCATGATGTCGGATCGAAGGGCCTCAATGATCTAACAAACACGACTGCCCATGTTTTTTTTTTCAAACAACAAATCGTGCAAGTTATGATTTACACATACAATCAGGTGCAGGATAGGTGAAAATGGATTGCTTCTCCTTTCTCAGCCTAATCTGGCCCTGTCTATTTCTGTGACCTTTGAGAACTGCAGCTTCAAAGTCTGGCCAAACTATGCTCTTGTTCAGGAACAATGGCCCTAACAGCACCATGTTTGGCCTTATGGTCTTCGAATTCAAATAGGCTCTGTGTCCCACCTGATCATGCAGACAAAAATAGCACGGGTTCGTTTTTAACACAAGAAGAAGAAGAGAGTAGCAGATATTTTCTGGTATAAGAAGAGAGACCAGCAGCAGTACCAATGCATTGTGCATGTTTCCAGGTGAAGCAGATATGAATATGTCGCTCTTCAAGCTGACATAATAATCAACTGCAGCTAATAGAGAAGCTTTCCCTTCAACCTTAGCCAGTTCATCTGCCGAAGCAAGGGTCTTCTTATCTTCCATTAGAGGGAATAACTGCTTCAACGTAGCAATCCTTGCTTCTCCACCATAGACCTTGAAAAAATAGAATATTTTAAGAGGGACACGGTTACTATAGTGTTATGCAGGAACAGGTTTCAAGAAAAACCTTGTGGGATGCGAGATAGAGGCGAGTATTGTTGCTGAAGCCTAAAGCTGCCAGAAGCAGCCCAATCTCTTCAGGTGTTAATGGACAACGCCCTTGACTCCTTAACTCATCGTCTGTGAACTGAGAGTTCAACACTCTTCCCTGCCAAAGCACTTGTCGGTACTTTGCCAGAGCAAGCTTTTCAGTTTTACCTCCACCAAAGTCACAGGCTGAGTGAGCAGCCATATCCTGCGTGTGTAAGAAATATCAAGGAGATCAACTACTAAGAGAGAATCCAGATGAACACAGATTGTTCTAATGTTCAAAACTACAACTACCAGATAGCAAACTCGAAAAGTGAACTCATCAAAATTGACCAAGAAACGTGTCAAACATTTGGAGAGAAGCTGAAAACTGTACTTTATCGAATCGAAGATGTAATACTACGTATTTTCCTGAGCCTTCATGTCCAGAACCATCAATGTTTTCCCTCAACTCTGATCCCAAGGCTTGGTGATGGGTATTGCGAAGACGATTAACAATCAAGTCTCCTAACACTTTGACATCACGAACAAATGCTAGTGCTTCAAAGTTCACTTTACATCTCAGCCGCTGGAGGTGAGTAGGCAGCTGATCAAAGGCCAAGCGATGAGAAAAGGGGGCAATTGCCACTATTCCATAGCTGCCAAGCAAAGAGCCAAAAAGTAATCTCTTGAGTGCAGTTATCTACCTGTTTTGACAAATAGATATGCTTCATAAGATATGTACAATGTTGAGTTCCAGAAACTAAACCATAGGGGTTACCTACCCACCTCTGAAGTACAGGCAAGACATTTTCTTGATACCACTGAGCAGAAGCATGGACAGGAGCTGTTTTAATTCGGGTAGGTCGTATACCTGTCGCATAGTACTCTCTAGTGCTCCAAGCATACTCTCTGGGTGGTTCTTTAACTATTTTGACTTCATTACTCAGAACATTGATAAAATGATCCACATCAAATATGTCGCTGAATGAACTGCAACAAAAGCGTAACTTTTCCCTCTCAATGTAAACAAAGACTCCCAACCAGACAACATCCAAAAGGAGGTTCTACCTAGTACAAGTACCTTGAATCTTGCCAAACAGGGTTCAAATCAAGATGCGGAACAACAAGTGTCGCATTGAGTATCATAGCAACTGCAACAGCATCACATACCTTTTTTGACAGCCAAAAGACACAGACAAACCAGAAGAATCACAAAGAGAGGAAGAAGCAAAGATAGTTTGCACCAAAATGAAACGTCGGAACTTAATTGATTTGCGATTATCAGGTACTTACTCCCATTCTTTGCTGGTTTAAACCACCATCCAGGAAGACTTGTATATACCCTTGTGAATGTGCAGGTAATGCTTCAACAATTGAAACCATGTTGTATGTTATAACAAGAACAAAAGTATCTCAAACACCCATATGAAACAAGGCCAAAAACAATGCTTGGATTCTGAAGACTGATAACTTACAAGAGACAGTAGTTGGTTCATTACAAGCTTTCCATCCTTGGTCAGGCAAAGGAGCCCAAAGCTCAGACTGTTGTCTAATGGGCTACAATACCAAAGGCAGACACTTTCACCAAAATTGATAGAAAACCGAGCGAAGAATGCTAAAATACAGAGGATCATGGAGGATGGGAAGAACAGGCACCTACTTACAATGTGACGATTCAAAGCAGCTTTTAGCAGAGGCAAGTGCCTTGGTCTCGGAGCAATCCATTCCTGCAAAGAAAAAACAATCAATCGGAGAACCAGGGAATGCGAGAAATGAACATCATAAAGATGAGATTTGAAGAGGGGGAAATGAAACACGAGGGATGGATCGAAGGGATCACAGAGAATAGAGACGGCGAGGCTCGGCCGAGGGGACGGAAGAGATGGGGGAAGAAAATTGGGAGAAGAATGGCGAAAACGCCAGCGAATGCCATCCTCTGAGACTGATTCTGGTGGTGGAACAGCCATTGCTTCATCGACATCTTCTTCGTCGCCGCCGCCGTCGAATGCTGGATTTTCTTGGAGTTGCTACGGAAGTGGGATTATGAAGTGGTGCGTTTTCTGCACTGTTTGAGCGCAGATCAACGAGAAATTGGTTATGTTTTTTTCTTTCCTTTTCCAGACCAATATAATAATAATAATAATAATAATAATAATAATAATAATAATAATAATAATAATAATAGCACCATGCGGATTAAAAGAAATAAAGACACACTAATTAATAACTTGTTTGAACCACTTGTTTAGTTACCATATGGGTAATGTTATTGTACTTATGCAGTGCGAAATGAAGCATATTGGATAGACGATGTTAACACCTAAACTTCTTTCATAATGACACATTCCAAAGCGTGAGTCGAATTGTTAACGTTTATTAGTCAGATGTTTACCTGCACATCACCACATAAAGAACACGTTAGTCATAGGATGAGAAACGGGTAAATTGCAAGGTTGGTCACTGAAAGTGCTAAAAAATTCACATTTAGTCACTAAAAGTATTTTATTCCATTCGTGGTCACAGAAAGTGGTTAAAATTTCATGTTTGGTCACTCTCTGTTTGTGTCCGTCAGCTTGTGTTAACACCGTCAGTTTTTTGCTGATATGGCTAACAGAAACGCTAATTCACCAAATTTTAACTGACCACATCATAAAATCCGACCCGCAATGTCATATAACTCAGCACATAAGACCCAATACATAAACCAACCCAACTCAACCCCCACCCGACCCGAGCCTCTCTTCTTTTTCATTGTTTCTCCTTTCTCTATGAACTGCCGCCTCTATTCCCAATTTGATTCTTTTGGATTTCTGATCGAAGGAAGGACAAGACAGTGAAGAGCATCGGCGACGAGTTGCGGGAGGACGACAGCTTCCGATCTCCCTCCTTCCAACTTTATCTCTCTCACTGACGGTGCTCCTTTGCTCTCACTGCGTGCCTCCGTCTCTCTATTGGGGTCGATCCATCAACGACTTTCCATTCGGAGAAAAAGACTGAATTAAAACTTCGCCTTGCCGCTCCTCGAATCGCTGGAGATGAGAAGGTGAAACGACGATTGGGGAAGACCTCGAATTGGGAAAATAGATGGTCGGAGGATTAGAGGCGTCGTTGTGTTCGGAGGATTGGAGGGTGGAGAGGGGCAAGAGCAACCGAAATCGATCTGGTTCTCAGCAAAAAGTCTCGTCCAAGTTTTAATCGCAGATCTTCATCTTCTTGCTATCTCTGGTCGTCAATCGCTCGTGGGAAGATTTGGGCGGAGAGCCACCATTGAGCTTTGTAGGGGAGTCGACAAGAGGGATTGGAAGAGATTACTGGAGGTCACAAAGGAGGAGAGGAGAGCAGCGCCAAGGCCGTGATGGTGGCATGCGGGGATGGTAGGCGGCGACGACGACGGTGGGAAGGTGGGTGGAGTCTGGTCGGGTCGAGTAGGGTTGGGTTAGGGTTGAATAGGGTTAGGTCATGCAGAGGGTCTGATGTGGCGGGTTAAAATTTGGTGAATCAGCATTCTGTTAGTCACGTCAACAAAAAACTGACAGTGTTAAGAGACGTTGACGGAGACTAACGGAGAGTGACCCAAACATGAAATTTTAGCCACTTTCAGTGACCACGAATGGAATAAGAAACTTTTAGTGACCAAACGTGAATTTTTTCACACTTTCAATGACCAACCTTGCAATTTATCCGGATGAGAAACACACTAGCGCATTGCATCTCTAAGTTCATTAATCTTCTTCTTTTGGTTAAACATTCCCTTTTTCGACACTCCAACTCCAACTGACCAACCAACAAATTGATTTCTTGATAACCAAAAACGCAATATTTTGGGGTGGGAAACCCTAACAACTAACAAGTTGTACTTCTTTCTCAAGAATTGTACAATCACACAGAAGACTGTAAGGGATTTAAGTAGTAGAGTATTCATAAAAAATACTAGTAGGGTATTTTGTAGCTAAACCGTAATTTAGTAGTACATAACTATAAAATCCAAAACCGAGTTAGACTCCGATAACCAATTTTTCCAAATCGAACTGGCCAATGCGGTTTAGCAAACGTCGCGATCATTGAAAATTTTGATAGGACAAGCTTTCAGCAAATTAACTAATAACTACCATCCACCAGGCAGGATGAAAACATCAAAGTTCAAACAATAGCTGCACAAGTTCTTGTGGAAGTATGGTGATGGTCACCTGGCAAGTTCCTAGAAAGGATTCTTCTACGTGATATCAACTTCTCTGTCTAATCTTAGGATCAGAAGGCTCTTAATCCCACTAAAAATTAACACAATCCCCCTACTGCGATTTTTCTGATATTCACAGAAACTGGAAGCTCTATTCAACCCTATACATTGCACACTCCCCCTCAACCCCCAAAGAATTGCACCCCACAACGTTTCTATAAATCAATCACCGCCTCCGGAGACCTTTCTTCTCGAGGTGTCCCGTCGAGAGCCTCATCTTCCAACAGCCGAAGCCTTTTCGAAGGATTCTCCTCTGATAATCCTGCTTCTGCCTCAGCAGCTCCCACTATTTCTGCAATATTCCTTTTCAAGTGTGATGCTGAATTCCCTTCTGCGGCTTTCTCATCCACTATTCCGCGATCTTCTTCCTCGACTGCCTCAAATTGTGCAACCTCAGTTTCTGGCAAATTGCCATTTGAGCCCAACTCTAAATTCCCCTTTGCGGCTTTCTCATCCGCAATTCCAGGCTCTTCCTCTGCTGCCTTCATTTCTGGAATGTTGATTTCGAGCAGATTACCATTTGATGCTGATTCTAAGTGTGCATCACTGTCGTGGAGTGCTGAGGTTACACCATCACCAACAGCCTCTTCCTTCTGATCGAACAACTCCCTGCTAGTGGCATTTTGCTCGTGTTGCAGTTGTGTTGTCATACTTATGCTCCTGTTCTCTCCATGATTCTCCTTGGAATCACAAGCCATATTGGTTGTTGTACAGTTCGTGGCACAAGTTTCCAACATGATGTCAGCAGACAATGAATCAGCATGGCTATCTGTCAGACACTCATTGTTGTTATCATCATCCAACGAACGAGTAGAAGCAGAAGATGTTTGCGGATCGATGTTCTCCTCCTTGCATGCCTCATAGCCATTGGTGGTCAGGGGGGAATTTTCAATGATCCCAACATCTGAAGAAGAATCATCAGATTCAGAGTCCGAATGTAAGGTTTCAGCTGGCGATGAATCTTCTGCATCTTCCCTCATGGTAATTCTGGGTTTCCGGGAGGAATCACCAACAGTAAATCCTTGGTATGAGAAAGAGTTTGAGAAAACAGCTTCTTCCCCGGATGGGAAATCCATAAACTCATTATCTGGATCAACCTGCCAATAGATCAAACCATTCGTTAAGCGATCAATATTGGTGCCAGAGTCAAACTCAGTTACGACATATAATACACTATGGTAACAAGAGAAGTTCAGTGCAGCACTTTCAAGATTCTCTATCTTATGAATGTCCTTCCCTTGGCAAGAAAAAGGAATAAAGGAAAGACCACCACAAGAGCTGAAAATGATATGAGAAGTGACTTTCCGATGCATTCAAGTGAAATAAGAATTTCATGCATGAGTACCCACCAAATATAAATCACCTTACAGCAATGGAGGGAAATGGGAATACCTCCATAGGTTCCACATCCTCATTGAGATGGTAATAAGATGATGACGGTTCAAAGGATGAACACTGAGCATGTAATGATCCTGCGTCTGCAACTCGAGGTTGAAAAAGTTCCCTCAGCACCAAATTCGGATCACCAACAATACATTCAGAGTTCCTCACAGAAGACGATGTTTCTAAAACGGTCATCTCAATCCCCTGGCCACCATGAAAACTTGATGAATTCCCATGACCACCTACTGTAGGAGTGAAATTCCTTGCCACAAACTCAACTCCCAATTCTTTCCCGTCGTCTGGAAAAATAGTTTGTGCTTTACCACCAACGCCACCCGAAGAAATACCTTCCTTGTCACGATTTTCCAAGAGCTCAGCAATCAGTTTCTGAATTAGAGTGCGTTTAAGCGATGCTTCAGCAGGGTGAAACCAGTCTCCACTCAGCTGTTTCACATTAATAGAAGAGAAAAATAAGTTGCACACTATTGACTGACCATCAGATCGACATTGCCACAAGTAGAAATCAGGGATACTACAGGTAACAAAGGTAGATCAATATTATTTCAGGGCCAACAGAAGGAGAAATAGGTGTCATTCCGAGACATGCACATTCGAAATCTGGACAAACCTATGTGCCAGCTTTCTCAAACGTGACACTGTTAAGTTGCTAAAGCCTAAAACCATGATTCGCCTATATCATTCCTAGTTACCTATCTTTAACCCCCAATCCAATATATCTAAGTGGAAACAATAACCATAACTTTTAGCCATGCGGAAAATAAATTCACTTACGAATTTGGAGAACTTGTTTATGCTGAAGAGGTTGAAATTCACAGGAGCTTCCGATAGAAACAATTCCAAGTAGTGAAGCAGGAAAAGTCCACAATCAAATGAATTTTCCTGCTGAGGCAGCTGCAAGAAGGTACACTTAATATGAGAACAATAACGTACTGCCTGCTCCAAATTTTTCGTCAAAATATGAATGGCCCTTTCACCTCAGTGGAATGGAGAACAGAAAGAAAGGACAGTATCCACACAACAATGTAAAGCTAAACACGGCATCTGAGAACACCCCAAGTATCAGAAAGTTCCTTTTCTCCATAAGAGCATTTAACAGATTGCTATTTTGAGCTGCCAATTAACATAAATTGGGAAATTTGTTTTCTTTTCTAAGAAAACATCCTTATGGTCATTGTCCTTAGAAACAACAATAGTGACTTTTGGGTTCAGTGGCATACACAGGAAATGCATTAGGAGAATAAATAACACATACATTTATTTGTGGAATTCAACAGTAGTGACTTTTAGACAGCTACAGTTAGGAGCAGGCAGTACCTCGAGAGGGACAAACCGCAAATTCATAAACTTGGAAGATACATCTTCTGATGCATCTTTATGTCTCTGTTTAAACTCTTCCCACAAATAACTGTAATCGGGAAAAAAATACAAAATTCATGCATCCATCAACGAACAATGAACTTCAAACCAAAAGCAACAGAAAAAGGCTAAGAATCCATGATACCTTTGAACAAGATTTTTTAGACCAGCATGAGTCCCTTTGATGGAATCCATATGCAAAATACATGGTACTCTGAGGGACTTCTCCACGTCTTCCTCTGAAATGTAAGACAGATAAGACTAAGAATCTAGTTCAAGTGCATGTAGATGTAGATGTCAGAAATATCAAGAACTAACCTTTGAAGCTCGCCACTTCACCAGGATGGCATATTACAAGCAAACTCCAGTGAAGACTAGCCAGTTAATGAAAAGAAGAAAAAAAATATGCATCAGCACGGTCAAATACAGTCACCTTAACCCCCACCCCCACAGAAGGATTAAAAAAAAAAACGTTTATGACTGTACTTACCCAAAATTAACAGGAATGAAAACGTAGTCTTTGCCAAAGAGATCAACCTTCCTTGTCCACTTAAGAACTCGCAAGAAGGCAGCTCGACCATCGAGAGCACTAGAGGGATCTTTGTCAAGATCAGCAAGCTTCCGGAAGAAAAAACTATTGAAAAAATGGAATTTATGCTTTTCTTCCGTAGGAATTTGGTTCTTCAAGTACCTACATATCAGTAATAGAAATAAGAGCTTGATTACTGATTGAGTTAAGAGAGACGACAGAATTAACGCAAAACTTTTTTTTTATGGGTAATTAAAGCAAAACTTATTCCAAGGAAAAAGGATAATATAAAAAACACAACCTAGGCATACATTTCCACTATTGGAGAATAAAAGCAAACGTTTGAAGAAAAAAAAGAAGATTCTCATATACGTGTTAGTTAAGCCATAGGAAGCTAAACTTGAATCCGGATAAACTTACTGGATGTAAAAGTCGATAATTGTATCATTAATGAACGTCTCTGGCTCCAGAAGAGCAACATCTCTCTTGTTAATAGAAACTGCATCACTATCCCCTTCTGGATAGATTACATCTTCAAAAGCCCTCTCAAAGCTGCACAGTTTCCAGATCTCGATAAGAAGGCGATAAGAAAGACTAAAAAATGTGAACTAATAGATTCCTCTATAACAGCTAACATAGCTCACTAGAGTAGAGAAATGAAACTCAGCAAACGCTTGAACAGACAAATGAGCTCCGGGCACTTCATCCCAATACCAGAACCACCGAGTTATAAGAAATGAATCACATAAGACAAAAAAATTACAGGAGGTCAACTTGTACAGTGAAATAAGATGAGCATTAATGCTAACAAAGGCAGAGAAAAAGCATGAAAGTTTAATGAGGTAATGGGCACTGACTCCAACGGATGGTTACAGTTGAGCCAATAGTGAAGAGAAAGCAGTATCTACAACTTACTTTGGGAAGTGTGGCTTTCTTTGAAGTGGGTCGACGCTTCCATCTTCAGTACTACAAGGAAGTTAATCAAAAGGTATGAAATTTATGAGGATACAAAAGGAAAGGACCTAGAGAGAATTCAAACCCTCATTAATTCAACAATATCAAATGGAGAAAAAGAAACAGCAGCTAGCCAGCTAACATCCTTCGAGTTTATAAACAATTTATGCTCCAGCCTCAAGCAGACTTAATTGAAGTAATCAGTATAAAGGTATATCCAAGGTTCTGAAAGAAACTAAAAAGAGATCCATTTTCGAGGAAGATATTAACAAGTAGGAAAGGCCTTCGTACAAAACGTCACAGTAACAGCAGGCTGAATATAACATGTCCAAAATCAGTATAAATGGGCGTGTGATTCACTGAGCATCAAAAGCACACAGAGAAAAATAATATTTTCCAATAAAGTGCAACTGGGAACAACTCAGATCCAGGCCAACTGTATGTATAAGCATCATTATAAAGGTTAGAAAGAACATACTCATGAACGGCTCTCCAAAGACTCATGTATTTCTCATTCAAAGATGTGATCTGTTGCCACCTTCCGAACCAATCTGGGTCACAAACTACAAATTCCAGTTCCTCTACACCTAGTGAAAGCAAAATCAGAATCATCACTGTAAAATATTTAACATTTCAAAGCATTAATTCATTAGAATTGACAACCAGAAACTAAACACTACATTCCACATTTCTCTAAAAATCAACCTGTACTTGTCTTTAAGTATTAAATATTTTGAACTCTTCACACACTTTGGAAAAAGCTCTTGCTATATATTTCATCATATCTATCCGTTGGACTCATAACAACATCACAGAGGGCATGAAGGATGAGGACTGCGTTAAAACATCGGAACTCCCAGGCCAGCTGTAACCTGAAATTAAGTAGCCTCCCCTCAGGGTGGCTTCCTAACTCACAGGCCAGATGAACAACTTAATGAAGTGCCAAAACAGCTTGATACTTCATATGCAAGTGGGATAGGCAAGGTACTCCCTCCATTTGGTGTAAGGCAAACTTTTTGGTTAAAGTAACATACTTTCAAGTTAAAAGGATGAAAGACTTGTGTAAAGTTATCCAATTACTGAGTGACACAACGGTTTGCTCATCATAGATCCAGTCATGCTAAACAGACAGAACCAGAATGCTGTGACAAACCCCGAGAGATAAATACAGATCCAAACAATCCAGTTGTTGCAGTAAGAGAACCACCACTCTCAATTAAAGTACCCGATGTTACATGTGTAAGAGCACAAACAATAGTGATAATCAACAATGCAAAACTAAAAAGTTAGACCCCAAACCTGAGGTTCCATGAACTTGTCCTGCATCCTTTGACAGTACATGGAGCTTAACAGAGACACTTTCAAACTGGAGAACATGAAGACAATGCAAAGTAAAGCTTCAGCTAACTTCCTTAAAAAATTAGAGGTTATTACCAAGTAATTGTACTAACCCTTTCAAGCCGTTCAGATTGGATAAGGACAATATCATCAATGCCCTTTTCAAGGCTATGGATTTCTTGGTCTTCTTCAGGTGTAGTTAGACCGCTGATTTTTATACTGTCGTGAGAGAAGGACACTGTGCATCCCGCTGAGCACTTCTTCTGATAGACAACATAGTCAACTGGAATACATATTTCTGCTTCATCCTGTGAATCGCTAATTAAGAAATGGTTAGTCCGCAGATCATAAGAGATTTACAAGATTAGATAAGGTAGGCAACAGAACATCGACTTCTTATAAAAAGTTGAATGATTGGACTGAGAAACTATAGGACATTTTATTTTATTTATTCTTTCCAATTTTAACCAATAAGAACTGACAATAGGCAGGACCAGGTAGCAACATGCTAAAAGAATATAGGAAAGGGCTTTCGATGAATGAAGTATTGGAATATCAGGATGGCATCCACCAATGCCTTGTAGAAACAGAAGCAGATAAAGTCACTAAACCAGACCTATCAACAAGGACATGTGTCCTATAACAATGAACTAGGGGTCGTTTGGAAGTTGCGTATGTTAAATCGTTGTATTGTTATGAATCATTGTGATATAAATGCATGCATTGATACAATAGATGCATTTTGAAATTACATTGTTTGGTTGTTGAGATTATAATTTATGAATTGATTGTTATAAAGTTACTTTATAAGAAAATGTCATATTTGTCCTCCACTTTTAATATAAAACAAAAAGAACTATGTACATAATTGGAAAAAGTAAAGGAGCTCAATTATTAAACCAACAATCACAACAATCTCAACTTTTAGTTGAGATTGTACAAACCCTCATTTTTGTTGATTGTTGGTGGGACCCACACAAAACAATACATGCATTCTTTTGCAACTTGACACTTCCAAACGTTGTATTGTGGACAATGCATGTATTTAACAAATACAACACTAACAATCGCAACTTCCAAACGACCCCTAATGCTATAAACAGACAGTGGAGATGCAGCATCAATCACACAGCAAACTACAGAGACCAAAAATCCAAAGATATCCAGCCAAATTGCAGCAGTAGATAAAATTTAGAATGCATAGAAGTGAAATGACATACCGTTTGCAGGCTGTCAAAACAATTTGTTGAAGGAACGTCATTTAAAACAGCTGAAATTCAGCAGCAATCATCTTAAGATACAAAATTTTAGAGTTCGAATGGGTTACATCTATGCAGTAAATTAATTAAACAGAAGTACCAGAATCTCTTGCAATCGCAGGAGACACCCTTGATGGATCACTTTCAGCGAAGTCATCGGCAACAGGTTCAATACTCTTAGCCTCACTCTGTGTCAACAAGGTAAACATGTACTTCTTTAGCTACAAGTGTAAGCTTCCAGATGAATTAGATGTAAAGACAGAGAAGCTGGAAAAGAACCATTGGAATGGACTTTCCCAGGTGAAGATACCTTATGACATGGAATTCTCTCCTGCTCAATATAAGAATTTGCAGTTTGACAAAAATCAATCTTTGAATGAAAGTAATGACCAGTAATCAGGGGATTTAGAGCAGCAGCATTTTGACAAGACTTTCTTTCTTTGGCATCTAAATCCTTCCCAACCATCTGTGAAGCAGCTGTACTGTGGTTGTCGACCTGATGATCATGTTCAGTGGTACCTACATATACAAAGGCTACACTATCAGCCTTTTCACTGGGAATTCAGATGTACCAGCAACTGTTGACAACAAGTCATGACTGTGCCACTACAAATCAACCGACAGCAATATTAAGAAAGAAAACAAAATCTGAAGAATATAAGCAGCAAAGGTTTGCATAAAGAACCCCATGAATAACTAGTTAGTTTATTCACTAGCTAGGAATATCTACGATGTAGAGGTACGTGCAATGCTCTGGAGTTGCCAAACTAAATAGTATGTCCTAATCACATAAAAAGTAATATAAATCAAAACGTTTAGTCAACAACAATTTTCATAATAAAGGGAAGATCCCCAACACTACAGCACTACGAGGTTGTATGTCACATTACCTTTTACACTGTAAGAATACAGGAATGTGAAAACTTTGTAGACGTGAGAATGGATGGGTTCGAGTTAGATAATTAATTGCTGGATAAGGTACCAAGAAAAGTGGTTTATAGAGCGGAGTGCAAATGTGCAAATGCTGTGCCTTACTTTGGTTAAAAGACCTCTGAAGGGGAAATGACGTCTTTTCAGCCTAAATAATGATGATACAGTATAAGCACAAACAATGCTTTCAAGAATATTGGGCTTCGTCAAATACTATCACTTAATTTTCATATTCATACTATGGCATGCTTCAAATCCTAAAAAAGACAATTAAGGAATATTGGTATGCTTCAAATCTCAACACCGGGCTCATATCCGAAAACACTGATCTCATTCTAAGGGCAAAAGCTTACCACAGTAACTACCATAAGAATTCCAACCCGAAGCTCCAATGAATATCTGGAGTGGTGACGAAAATGCCCCATTTCATTTTCGATGAATAAATGACTAAACAATCTTAAGACCATTTTCATTGCTCCCTACCAAATAAGTGCCACAATTGCAAGACTGAACGCAACAAAAGCCGCCACCATAGTAGCCCTTCAAAGGAGAATACCAATTTCTAGTCTTCAAGAGTATACTGATTGAATGTTGACAACCTGCAGTATAACTTCTATGGAGGATTTGAAATTCTTAACCATTTGCTGATCAAGTCATAACCTCTTCAAACCCAATGTGGCACCTATTAAACCAAAACTAGGACTAGGCGGCCTCCGCGGATATGGTTTGCAACCTAAACTATAGGCCTAATATTCCCCTCATCCCCCTTCACTATATCCAGGCTAAAATGAGAACTACCCCAGTAGGGACAAAAGAAATTGTCGCAATTAGGAGGCAAAATTCTTTCTGCTAGCGAACTAAAAGTTACACCGGAGAGCCAGACAGAAGCTGAAATGGCATAGTACTTTAAAAGGAAACTTAGAATCTTCAACATTACAGCTCATGCAAAACAATCTGCAGCTCCATATGAGACAACTCCAGTCTCCAGTAGCTCTTTACCCCCCACAAAATGAACGTAGACAAAGGAAAATCTCACAAAGAGAAACGAAATCCAGCATTAGAATCAGGTAAAAGTTCCAGAGAACGAACCGCATTCGACGAACTCGCAGGTTGAATTCTCGGGTGGGTTAGGGTTTTTGAACTTGCTCAGGAATTTGGCATCCGCGCGTTCCGCCAGTTCGTCCTCTTCGCCAAACTCGAAAACTTCGAAGCCACTCTTCATGATCGGACAGAGACCGAGTTGAGGCCAGCAGAGCCCGAGTCAATTCGGAAGCTACCAAAGATCTGACCCTGTCTCCTGGGAGTGTTTCGTGAGAGGGGTAGGGGAGAAAGGGCGACGTGGAATTAGAGAGGGAAAATGGGGAGAAGTTTCGACTGCCCAGAAATAAATTTTATTTTGAAACAGAAAATTTGGTTGCTCTTAAAAAAAAAAAAAAAAAAAAACAAAAACAAAATTATGCTGCAAAGTCGGAAGCAAATGACTCACGCGCGACTAAAAGGATGCAACTTCACCGCCTATGGAAACATCATCGGTTGAGCTAGTTAGGAGTGAACAAAACAAACCGAAAATCGAATCACCTGTCCAAACCAAACCAGCTCAATCCGTGATATCCATACATATCTAATTCTATGGGTGAGTGCGGTTTTAATTCTTATAAAATCTTAGCCTTATGATTGGATTTGGGTTTGTACTTTGGATGCTTACATTTCAAAATTATCCAAACCGACTCGTGATACTACATTATATATTTAATAATATATATTCCTCCACCAAAATTTTCTTATTTTAATTATTATACATGACATTTATTCACATAATTAGTGTTGATAAATTAAAACTCAATTACTTATCATAGTGTTTTCTTAACATATACACTAATAAGTAAAATATTTTTAATTTTTGTATTCTTTTAGTGTGAATGCAATATGTTACTACAATGTCTAATTTGTATTGTAGTTCTATATAGTGTTATATATGTATTATTTGTTGTATTATATTATTAACTTAAATATTTTGTTCTCGTGTAATGGGTTAGATTTTCATCCAACCCGACCCAAACTGTGACTCAAGAAAATCATAGGGTTTTGAAATTTATGGGTGGGTCTGGGTTCAGCATCATTAAAATCGAGACTCATGGGTTGGGTATAGGGGGTGGAAGTTTGGGTTGCGGATTGTGGATAACCCGCAAACCGCACAACCCGCACCCATTGTGAGTAACCATACCCACAAGTTGTGGGTAGTAAAATAATAACTTTTGTTGTTAGTGGTTACCCACCATCCACCGCGGTTAACCCACAAAATCAACAATAACCACACTAATTATATTTATTTACTAATAATTTTATAATATAATAGTATGTGAAAAATGGGAGGCAAAAAACTAAAATAGCCACATAATCAAATACGCATCTAAACAGTTTTAACTTTTAAGTGAGAATTTTTTAGTTCATAAAACACTATAATCGAGAGAGTGGAAAATAATCGACTCATTAAAAGTTGACACCTTTAGTAACTTTTATCTGTATGTTTTTGCTTTTGTGTGAAAGAAAAATACAAGATCACATATGAAAATCACCGCTCCCTGACATAAAAGTTGAATACCAAACTCGAAAAGAAAAAATCTACAAAGATCGATATACAAAATTATATCTCCACGAACGATACAATTGTATATCATTATAGTCTTGCTACGAACAACAAATACGTTGGTGGCGGCCTCAAATACATGCTTGCAAAAATGGATTTTTACGGGTAAACACACCCAGCCCGCACCAATATTAATAATCATATTACTATATTTAGTCATGAAACTTTTGTGGGTATCCACAACCAACCCACACTGTTGTGGCTACCCACTAACCACTGCGGTGCAGGTTGTGGGTACCATAATTGCAAATTTGTGGGTGTAAGTAGCTCGCAAAATGTGAGGCGGGTAACCAACCACACCCGGCTTAATTTTCACCCCTAGTTAGGTGGTTAAAACGATGAAAGCCGACCCAACTAATCCAGGTACACCCTCTAGGGCTAGCGATAGCACCTAATTGGTTGGGTTGGGTTACTCTAGAGTTAAACTCAATTCAATTAGTGTACCTGTACAAAGACTCCGTAAGATATCCACCGGATGGTCACTCATTTATACGTTTGACTCGTTCTGACTATCACAATAAAATCTCACCTAAGGCCCAAGTATAAACTTTAGATGGGTGCAATATAGGGCAAGTATGTTTAAATATCGCCCCGAGCCGGCCCATGTACCGCTACTTCGACTGTTTGAAACATTATCTAGCGGATTAGTTTTTGGTGAAAACAAAGGTCTAAAACTAAAGTACTTTGCAAAGGTAAAATGAATTTGACAATAATTGAGAGGGGTTCACCCGAGTGTTGCTCCCCCTAGCTCAGAATTACGACTTGAAGAATCGAATGACCGTGTGTGGTTAGGGGGTATAAACCGCAGGGAAGTCGAACAAGTAACCAAGGCTACCCTCTTAGTCTCTAGGTTGAGGAAATGGGATATGATCCAAGCCGCTAATGCGACCCTCTCAACCTATCGACTCAGAAATGGTTAGACTTCACCCTCGAATTGGAGTTCGGACGACCACCAACAACCAAACCCTAAGTGCTAATACGAAATAGGAGATTTGCCCTTAATTAACCTAGAATAGGAGGCATGAAATGCTGACTCGTCCCGAATATCACAATTAACTCCCACCTAAGGTCCAAGTATAAACCTTAGTCGGGTGCAATACAAGACAAGTATGTATAAATATCGACTCGGGCCGGTCCGTGTACCCCTGCTTCAGTCATTTGAATCATTATCTAGCAAATTGAATTTGGTTGAAAAGTTTGCTAATTAAATTAAAGCAGGGCAAAAGTAAATTGTTTTGAAAGCTCTTTGTGAGAAGGATCACTCGGGTGTCTCTTCCCCATAACTACTACCATGGTATGTGAATCGAAGTGATTGTTATGGGCAAGGTGACCGCGAACCGCTAGGGGACACAAATATGGTCGTAGACCACACTCTCGATTGCCAAACCGAGGGATACATTATAGGCTCTTCAAGCGGCCCTCTCGGTTAAGGCAATCAATGGTTGACTTACTCCCTCACTCAACCCAATGGTTGGGCGGCTTAATCGCGCTTAACCAAATTGCTTAATCCAACATCAAGGTTTTCCCTAAATTAACCTAGATAGGTGACTTAAAAAGCCCTAGGAATCCCAACTCAATTGAGCCTCCCTTGAAAGAAGGTTTTCCCTCTCTAATCTAGGTTAAATTGGCCAATTAGATTGCTAAGCACAAACATGCACAATCAACATGAGAAATACCTCAATCATGGAATTAAACAAGACCCATGAACAATCATTCAATTCACATAAAAAAAACTACATGGTAAATAGTTAGGGTTTCACAACACCCAAGTGAAAAAAGGAAACTACTCCATGCTAGAAAGGGGAGAAACACAAGGGGAAGAGGTAGAAACCATCATGAAGATGCTTCCAATCTTCTTTGCACTTGTGCTGAACTTCTCTTGAGGAGAATCCTCCATATTCACCATTTGGAGCAAACCCTAGCCTTCCTTCTCCTTTGGTTCGTTCTTTCTCTCTCTAAAAGCTGAAGAAGAAGACACTTTCTCACTCTTGGGCTCCCATCTCTCTTCCTTTCAGCTCTCCTTTTAAACAGGGATCAGGCTCAGTTCACGGTCTCAGGTCACGATCGTGAACTCTTGAACGCGTCCGTGAACTCAAGGTTGGCGTCGAAATGCACCGCTTCGCTTGCTCAGTTCATGCCTCACGGGCAACAACTCCAGGTCACGGTCTTAGTGACTGTGAACTCACCTAGCGTCAGTAACTTAGGATTTGACCCTGGACGCCTTGATGTTCACGGGAAACAGCTCCTCTGCCGGTTTTTCACCTCTTCTCGCGGTTTTCGCTCCTTTTCGTCCAACTTTCGACTCCAGGGCTGGTTTCACCTGTTAAATCCTGAAACATGCTAAAACACAAGAAACCTCACATAAAACCACCCTTTAAGGAGCACAATTGCCACAAATGCCAAAAGAAAGCGGGGGTAAAATATGTACAATTATGCCCGAATCAAATGCCCAAGGAAACCCATATCTAATAGAGCCTCTTAGGTTAAGGAGGGTTCTCTCTAAACTAGTCTAGGAGGCTTTGAATGCCCAAGGAACCCCAGCTCAAATTGAGCCTCTTTGTATAAAGGAGGTTTCCTCTCTAAACTAGCCTAAGAGGCATGCAATGCCCAAGAACACCCATCTCTTATTGAGCCTCTTAACCTAAGGGGGTCTCCTCTCTAAGCTAGGTCAACAAAGTACACACCATCATCAGGAAAATACCTCCACATTCACATTGAACTCAACCACACACAAATCATTCAATTATTACAAGCATTCACATAATTATAGCTAGAGTTTATAAACACCCAAGTGAAAAAGGGACTACTCCATGCTAGAAGAAGGGAAAACACAGGAGAAGGAAAGAAAAACCATCAAGAAGATGAAAGTCTTGCTCCTTGTGTTGAAGATATCCTCCTTTGGGGAAAGAATTCCCAAATCCTTGCTTGGAGATGAAAACCTAGCTTCTCCTCTTCTTTGGTTCGTCACTTTCTCACTCTAAAATCTGAAGAAGAAGAGTTTCTCACACTAGGTCTCTCTCCCCTTTCTTCTTCTTTTAGCTAGCTCTTTAAACCGAGATCGAGCCCGGTTCACGACATGAGTTCACGACCGTGAACATCTAAACGCATCCGTGAACACGATTTTTTAACCAAAACGCACAGCTTCACATCCTTGGGTTCACGGTCTGTGGTTTATGTTCACGGTCTTAGCGGTCGTGAACAACCCTGGCGTCAGCAACCTCAAAACCCTCTCTAGACGCTCCTTGGTTCACGAATTATGGTCCCAGTTCATGGTTCTGTAAGATCGTGAACTCCCATGGCAGACCGTGCACTGCGACTGTCTCCTCTTCTTTGCCCACTCTTTGCTCCTTTCCTTCCAACTTTTGACTCCGGGGTTGGTTTCACCTGTTAGGATATGAAACACACTGAAACACAAGAAACCTCGCGTAAAACCACCCCTTTTGGAGTTCAATTGCAGCAAACATCAAAGCGAAACGGGGGTAAAAAGTGTAAAATTAGACTCGAATCAACTTTTCACCGTTTTTTTTAGTATTGTTTTTTACTCCATTGTCTCTGAACAGTCTCTTCTTGTTTCCACTAGATTGTTGTCGACACTTCTTGGGGTTATCATCCGAGTGGAGGGTGGTTGGAAGGAATGTAGAAGCTGTGGCGTGTTTTGTAACTATGGAGTTGGGCGATTGGTATGGAATCTATTGATTAGTGAACGTTTGCCGTGAACGTTGTCGAAGATTATATGGGGGGGGGGGGGTACTAGCTTGGATACAACGAACTTGCTACTGCATATGCATCATGTACTTGTCTGGAAATCATTAGGATGCAACAGCTTTGACTTGGATGCAAGAAGGAGGGTCTTTGGTTTTCATTATAGGATGTATACAATTGTTGATGTGTGTTTCTTTTGCCGGTTTGTTAGCTGATAGTTAGATACTACTAGTTCGCTGTTAGGTGAAATTTATTGCTTTTGGGTTACTGCTGCTTTGTTAGAACATTGTTGCTGGATTGCTATTTGTTGAGCGCTTTGATGAACTAAAACACAATTTTTTCATAATAAAAAAACATTGAGGAAACACTTAATGAATGAAAAATATGAATAATTGAGTCTAATTAGTTAAAAGATCAAGACTTATACCTATTCAAAGTTTTATTATTTGATGGATATATAATTAAAGAAAGCCCTGATAAATATACAAATAGATACTCACGCAAATTGATTAAGGATGACTCAAGAATGGGACATGGCGGATCAGGTTGGAACTAGTACTCATGCCACACCACTTCTCCCTTAATCGTCGAAGCAATGATCTATTTACCATTCTGGTCCGGAATTGCGCCCACTTCTCCCTTGATCTCCTCGGTAAGGGTCGTTGCCTATTTAGAGATTCCCTCGTGACTGGCAGCTTCGACGAGCCCAACAAAAAATCTATGATCAGACAACTTGAGACGGCTGGGAAAATCGCCGCAACAGCGTCAATATCACCTTCTATCTCGGCCCGCAGCAATTTCACTCCTTGGTCCTTTGTTTTGCCTGCATTCCCGAAGCTCCTTCTTCCAGGAATTGAATTTCGTTCCCTGAGGAAGAGTATACACGAAAGTGCCTCCCTCCGCTTAAGCTCTTCATCGTGATCGCTGCCTGCCCCTCCTTCATGTTCGGAGAAAGTCAACCAGAAAGCTTGAAATTGCATACCTCGCTTTACAACTTCCAATTCCTTTCCAGTCTTCTGAGAGCTGCAATGTTTATCATCATGCGCCAATATCCATCATGCAATTTTTTCCATCTTTTGTAGGAGACTCCAACGAACTCAGATTGCTCCGACGTCGTTCATAATCCTTATCCCGCCATTTGAACTTCATCATTATTACCCATTATGCTCCATCAAAATTTCGGCCCAGCACAGGCCCCATGCCGGAGGACCCTTCTTTCCACATCTATTTGCTTCCCTTAGTCGTGGCTCCCGTTTCCAATGCCATCCCTACCATGCATAATGATCTTGATCACGACAGTTGGTGGTGACGATGCCGCGGAAGGGATAATAGTAACTACAACTTCGAGTGCGGTCAAATCCCTCTTCTTAAGCTCGCCGTTGTGGTTGGTCTCCCCACGACACCACCCCTCGTCGTCGCCGGTCACGTGATCCCGTCCAAGACCACCGCATAGATCCCCACCGTATCGCTTCTGGCCTCCTCTTGTCTTCCACCAACGCAGTCAAGGGTGCCACTTCGGTTGACAGTTGCGCCGCCCTGGCCTGGTCGCGCGTTGGCTCCGCCTTCTCCTTGGGCTTGTCGTTCAGCGTCTCCTCTTCTTCATCAGTCATCGTCAAGAGCTTCTTCTCGCCTCCGTAGCTCGTCGGCTTCCCGGACAGTGCTGCCCGTATCTCCCTGGTTGAGCGGTCGAGCCTCTCCAGATTGCGACGGAGTTGGTCCTCCAACTGCGCAATTCAGTCCCTGCTTGAGAGTTGCGATAAACTCATAATCGAACTGGACTCTGATACCACTGAAAGAACTATAGTTCTTCAGTAACTTGCAATAAACGTAATGGGATAGATTAGAAAAAAGATTTAGGGATTGTGAGAAAGAATTAGAGATTTGAATAGAAGAATTGAGGATTAGGGATTGAAGAACATAATTGGGCAGAATAGGGAAGAATGGTCGAGGCCTTTGAAGAGGGAGATGGACGAGATTGAGAGAGGGATAGATTAGAGTTTGGGAGATAGTTTCTGTAATATTATTCTTTATTCCCCTGATGTAAAACCTAAAGTACACTTATATATAGAAATACTGTAAAAACCTAATAAAACCCTAGGCTATTCAGCTATACCTAACCGCTCTAAGCTCATCCAACTAATACGAATAATAACAATAAAACACTAAGAAACGTGTTTCTAATAGCTCATTCTCTTTGTAAGTTCTCAATTTTTCCTTTTCGAGCAAGAGAAGTTTTTCCTATTTTTCGTGTCACTAGTGTGGAATAAACCTTCATAAGGGGCTGCTTGTATTTGGTAATATTGATGGTCCATGACAACTCGACTTCTTGCTCTTGTAGAGGAATACAAGCTTTTTCCTTTACAACATCTTCAACAATAATAACGACTTGTGGATGTCCCCAATTTGGTGCCTCTCGTTCCTGCTAGGTACCGCGCGTCGCGGCTAATGAGGAATAGGGAGGGGTTACGGTGGTTACTTAGTGTTAGTAACCATCGTGGTTACTAGGGATGATAATGGTATTTTGCTACCATTATAATTCAAACTACCATTTTAATTACGCAGATGATTAGGGAGCTATAATTACAGAAACTAATTATAAGGAGATTTAGTGTCGCCTCCCGCCGGCCGCCCACTGCCTCTCCTCCCTTCCCTTATCCATGTCCTAGCTCTAGGCAAACTCAAAACTCTTTGGTTAGTCTCTTTGCCTTAAAGTAAACAATCAAAATTAATTTCTGTATTTAATTATTAATTTTAAAGGTAAATAATTTCGTATTTGATAGTACCAATTGAGATACCAAAATACCTATCGAGAAATTGAAATATTTAGGAATTGCGATTGAGATATCAAAATTATTTAGGGATTGGGATTGATTATAGGGTGTAATTCAGTATTTGGTTTTGGGATACCGATATCGTACCGATTTCCATTGCGGTGGGAAACGAAACAGGAACGTCGGAGGAGCTAAAATCAATGTCGCCGGTCCCCGTGTTCCGTTGGAGTGGGAGTAACTGGAAACGAAACGAAACCGAGAAACAACCAGTCGTCAGCCTGGATAGAATGACTGCGGTGGTCGGAGAGAAAGACTGTGGCGCAAGAGAGAGATGGAAGATGACGAAAAACGGAAGAAGCTTCTGCAAAATGGAAAAAGGTTCTGCCCCTTTTTGGGAGCGGTGCTGATAAAGAAAAAGGATAAAGAAGGGGAAGCGTGGAAAAAAGAAAACACCCACTTATTTCGGGCCCCAATAATGATGTGAAGTGATCGTGTGTTCCCTCCGAAAACACTCTTCTGCAAGCTGGGCCCTCAGAATTGATCCACATAATCTGTCTGGCCAATAAATGGGTAGCCACGATGGTTAATTAAAAAAAAGTAACCAGGGTAACACATTCAATGAGGAATAGGAAAGATTGGCTAGTCTTGAGTGAAGTAGAATCCAAGTGGCCAAGGCGGATGGTGTGACGATGGCAGATAAGATGACGTCGAGGGATGTAACGCCGACAGATAGTTGGGATAGTCAAGAACTCGTCGAGGTAATTAAGGGTTTCCTTGTAGCTTCGTGTCCATAGAGTGAACACCTATTCTGTTGTATAATGCGTGAAAATCGACATAGCAAATTCAACAACTAAACTCTGATATCAATTGACACGACCGATTTCATGCATCAATTTTCGATGATATTGCAATAAAACTAACTATCGAGAACTAACAAAAATGGTATAACTACAATTAAATTACTACTAATTAGTAATTACTTGACTTATTATTCACGATGATTAAAACTTAAAGCAAAAGTAAATAATTTTAGGAGCAATCTCAGGTACCATTTTCCTTTAAAGCAAACGTAAGACTAATCATCATAAACAAAGTAAATAATAAATTCTTTAAGTAGCAAGACAAAATTAATAACAGTAGTACTAAATATAAACTAATACTAATACCCCAAACATCCAATTAAACCAAACAAAATAAATAAACATAATATAATAATAACAACAGAATTAACGATATCGAACTTGGTCGACTAATGCATGAATATAATGCATTTACCAAAGGGTCTCATTCTTCCTCATCATCACCGAAAATTAAGCTGAGCACTTCTACTATGCTATATAGCATTGGTACTTTAATATACAACTCAAAGTTGTATCATAATATTAAATGAATAAATTTAGGTTGTACCATAAAATAATTTGTACCATTATATTTTGGTACAACTTTACAACTTGAAGTTGTATTATCACATAAAGGTACAAAGTTCAAGTTATGCCATAAAAGAATTTGTACAAAAAGTATAGGTATGATCTAAAGTTGTACCATAACGTAAATGTACAATTTTTAAGTTGTACCATAAAAACAAAAACCTATAGCACCAATATAGCATTGTAAAATTTTTCAACTTCATTAAATACTCACAACAGCAAAATCATCCCTGGCAATAATAAACGGTTCACATAACATTAGCCACCGCTTAATTAATTAATTAACAGATCATTAATTATGATCATATGTTATCCCGATCAATCAGTCTCCACTCTCCAGTCATTTTATAGTTAATTGGACGATGATCAGCCGCCGGAGAAGTTACCATTCATTATAGACGAAGATTATGATAGTCCGAACAGTTAAACAAAACCCGAGATTAATTGATCATATGCATACATACATACATGCATTCATGTCTCCCAGTCTCAGCATATACGTACATACAGCAGCAGCAGCCCCTTTTTTGCTGGCCTCGTGCAATGCTGTCAAATTAAGCTTCAAAACGGCAGCCTGCATTTGTACAAACAAAACAACCAGTAATTATAAATAGCAGATGGTCGTTATTAATTAATTAATATTTAATACTGATGTATTAATTATTTGTAAGTAGAATTAATTAAGCTGACCCAAGTTTGAGAGAAGTGTCGGAGCAGTCATCTTCAACCGGAGGGCCGCTGCTACAGCTGCAAACATTGGCGGCGGACTCCGACGACAGCCCTTCTTCTTGCTGATCTTCTTCTTCTTCGTCATCATCTGCTGCCGCTGCTGCTGCTACCATGTTAATGTCCAGATTATTCGCCGGCGCTTCCTTCCCCTCGTTCATCCTTACCATCATCATCACCTGCACCAGATTAATTATGTTCAACACAATAATATAATTATGGCCATCTTTTTTTCTTAAACCATGCATTCTGTGAAATCAATAAATAATTAATAATGATTACTTTCTGCTTCAGTTCTCTGTTCTCCTCCAGCAGCTGTGCTCCCTGCAAGCGTATGCATGATTTGGACTCATTAGATAAAGTAATATCAATCGTCAAACCTAAATCCTCTTCTAAATGTTTCCACTGAGTAATTGAATTAGTGGAACTGGAGTTCATTAGTAAGTCCATGCACGCACCTTTGTTTCCAGGGAAGATATCTCGTTCTTGATCTTGTCCGACTGTAAAGAACAAATAAAATAAAAAAGTATGATAATTAAGGTAGCACAACTCAATTAAGGCGCGCAAAACATAATCAATTTCATCACAGGTGTTTCACTCACTATACACCAAACCCTAAAATTAATACATCACATTTGGTAGTATTCATCTAATAATATGATGATAAGATATAGCTAGATTCACAACTAATCAGCCCTAAACTCCCAATCATAAATTCTAATCCTAAATACGTACTTCAAATCAATTTAAATGTTTAATCGTCTGACGTTTGTCATCATTTTAATATAAATTGTCTGGTCTGCTCATAATGACGATTATGGGAAGATGCACAAAGAAGCATAAAAGTGAGGGTATCAAAGAGATATATCTATGTATCTGTATAAACGTAGTAAACAGTGGGAATTAATGAAATGAATTATGGAAAGGTATAGCTAGCTAGCTAGCCTTTGTTTCAATGACTCGTTGGAGACCAGAGTCGAGCTTCCTTTCGAGCTGATGAAGTTCCTCGATGCTCATTCCATTCAGATCCTCCCCTCTCAGCTGCCTGCACCCAAAAATGGGTTTTATTCACATCAAAACTAAACGACACCAGCTACTGCAATCCTACTAGCTAGCTAGCAAGCAAGCAATATATTTTTATCAATACCTGAGTTGATGGGTTTTTTCTGAAACTTCCTTGCTCAGACGGATGTAATTGCTGTTCTCCAGCTATATATATATACACAACGTGTGAAACTCGTAGAGATCAGATATGCATTCATGATCAAGCTAGCCAGCCTCCAAAAAGAGGAAAAGATCGAAAGTAGCAAGGTAGAAAAGGTTACCTGTAATTCAAGAGAAGGCTGCTGAGGCTTGTTGAGGTTGTTAGCGTGCAGGCTATACCTTGCAAGTATGCCCTTCATGCTATAAAACAAACATACATATATAATAATAGAGATATAGTCACAAAAGCAAACAATCTTGAGAGCAGCATTCATCAGCATATTATTTATTTATACATGTAAACATAAAGTAGCCTTATTAACATAGAAGATCCACGTGTTATGCAAGCATTAGAGAGATCAGATGACGTACAATCAACAAAGGTCGTTTGAGGTAGGTGTTTAGAACCATGAAACAACCACCTTGACAATTAAGAGCCAATCCACAGGAGAATTGCAGTCATCATTGTATATCAAAGTTACAAATCTGAGTGACCACATCGTTATGGATTGTTATGTACATGATTGTCTTGTTATAGATTAATATGGGTCATTATTTTGGTTCTTTAATATTTTGAATCAAAATGATAGCATTATTTTGGTAAGTAATATTTTTTGGGTCGTTTGAATGGAGTATTTGAGTGAGTTATTTGGGTTTAAATTATTGATAACGGCTTATTTGGACACAAATAATTTGTTTGGCAGCATTTTATTAAAATGAGTTAATTAGTCAGTGAGTTATTTTAAGTAACTCCTACCCCTGTGTTATTTTGAAATAACTCGTTTTAGCCCCCTGTTTTTGTCAAATATCACATGTCAAATACCGCGTGTGCATGGTTCTACCAAACGATATACTTTGATCCAATTAGCACTGAAATAAAATGAAATTACCACATGAACAATTAATGAGTTATTTCACTCTATAAATACCACATCGACAATTAATTCAGCTAAACAACCCCGAATGTGTATTTCAATTTGGAATGAGGTAATTGAGTCTCATTGTCTTGTTTGGGTACCACATTAACATGTTGTGGTATTTCATCACTTAAAGAAGGGTTGAGTGAGTTAATTGAAATCTCTAGAAGGAAGAAATATTTCAATCTACTCATTGTGCATTATTTTAATTGTTGCGAGCTCCAAAATACCAAAACCCACTTTTATTTTTCGAATGAGTTATTTCAGCTCTAATAACTAAATGAGTTATTAACACCGAAATAACTCATCCAAATGTTGCATTCAAACAATCCGGTAAGTAATTACCATCGAAAACTCTTTAGATATGGCTTCATGCCTCATGCCTTGTATATATTTAATTTCTGTGACTTCTGAACACTTGATTGATGGGAAAACCCCTCTGTTTTCATAACCGAAACGGAGGCAGAACCGAAAAAAGTTAGTGGTTAACGATTCAATGGTTAATTGTTACGAAATTGTTGGTAAACCGTTAATATAATCGTCGTGGTTCATCTGGTTTTATATTGAACCGTGAAAAACCATTTGATCCATCAATAACCTTCTAAACAATGAACCAAACTGGTAACGTAACTGGTCTGACGATCCTACTTACCCAACTGTTGATCCGGTTCGGTTCTTATAACAATGGAAAAAAACTTCTTTTCTCGACCAAACCAAAAGGTGATGGCGATCACATTGAAGTTCAAATTGATTAACAATCAAGAGCCAGAGTGTTTTATATCTAAAAAAATCAGCTCACTTGAAATAAAAGTATGCCAAATTTTGCTTTGTGTCTGTTAATTATTAGTGTTATCATCATGATAACATTTTTACTGTATATCACCCTAACTTCTCCCGCGCAACTAACAGATTTTTAACTACAAAGACACTAATTCAATAGGAATAGCAGTCGTCTGCTGAATGTTGATTTGGGTCCCTAAGCTATCTTCATGCAATATATAGTAGTCAATGCCGATTTTAAGATTAATTAAGTTGGAAATAAAGCAGAACAACCATAGCTATTACTGTTTGTTAGTAGTATTCCAAAATAGATATCATTTTAGAGAAAGTGATCATTTACATTGGAAGCATAAAAAACTAGACCTATACAAAACCAACGAACGCATACTGTACATCCAACGTCCAGATTTGCTTTAAGATATCAAATTTTGAATAGTATTAGTTTAATATGATGATAAATTAAAGTTACTAATTCATTTACCCTTAGCCCCATATCTTAAATTTTGAACCAAAATCAAGAATCCTAAAACCATAAAATATTAGCTATAAATTCCTAAACCATGAACACTTCAAATTAAAGCAAATTTTGGATGATTTTTGTGCCCATTCATGCATTTTGTTGTCAACCATATTATAAGTGGCGACTAACGTCATTTTGACATGAATTGTCTGCTCAGAATGACGATTGCGAGGCAAGTTATAGTATGCATCCAAAAAGTGAGCACAAAAAATTATATATATGTCAATGTTCCAAGGGATATTGTCATTGGGTGTACTTCAGTATACTTTGGTGAATCAGAATCATCGATTATTATTTTCAATGGTTAGGTAGATCTTCGAGGTTCCGCTTACAATATCGGATTGGTAAAAACTCATTAGAGATTAAAGTACAATATCATACCCAAATTTGATTTAATTCAATGGTTAAGATAGATATGTACCAAACCACCAACATATTAATATAGCTACTTATAGATTTTTAATGAAGAAACCCCATCAATGCACTTCTACGCAGATTGTATAAATCTTAATTAATCTTATTTCATGCAAAGGAAACAGGCCAATCATTTTTTGTTTTATTCAGGAAGAAACTGTTAATTAACAAAAAATGCCCATAAAATTAACTACTTGGAATACTATATATATCGACCTGAATTGAAATCTACCGGCAGACAAATATGGTGATTGGAGGACGAAAAACCGTGCCCAAAGTACTACCATGATGATAACATATTACTATTTGTAGACACAGAACAAATGGTGGGAAATACGAAGCCTTTTTTGCAGAGTAAAAACATATATAACTAAAAACAACAGATAATTGTTATATTACATGGGTGAGTGAGACCGCTGTATGAAACTTCCGACTATACTACTAGTGCGTGATATATTTATATCGTAACGAAGAATTAAATCGAATTTGAGATATGGTAATATTACTCTCATTTCTAATAAATTGTATTTCGAATCTGGATTCTCTAAACCCAAACTTGAATATATATAAAAATTTAGGAGAAAATAAAAATCGAGAATTGTAATAATGACTACTGTAAAGTCTAACCCCAATGACTTGACTGCCTGACTCGCGACTACTCTTAACGTCTTTTCAACCAACACAAATATAGGCAGTAAAACACACATTAACAGCAGAAGTAGAAGCAGTGGTTAATGAGGTTTCATTTCATTTCATAGCTAGCAGCTAGGGTTAAACAGTAAAAAAAAAAGAGAAGGTGGTAGTGAATATATATATATATATATATATATATACCTGGAGCTGGAGTAGTCGAAGAGCTTGCCGGTGGCCGAGAAAACGAGGAGAGCAACCTCGGCGTCGCAGAGGACGGCAAGCTCCTCGGCTTTCTTGAACAGCCCTCTCCTCCGCTTCGAAAACGTCACCTGCCTCGCCGTCACGTTGTCGATCTTCCTTATCTTTATCTTCTCCCTCGCCATTTTCCCACCACCACTACTTCAACAAACCAAAAGAAACGAATGAAGAAGGATTTTTGGTACTGTTGAGGAAACCCTAATTCCGCAGGTGGAAACATGGAATGGGGGGATTTTGATTTCAGATCCAAAAAAAAAAAAAAAAAAAACCACAAAGGAAGGGGAAGAAAGGAAAGGAAAGGACGAGCAAGTACTGTAGTACTAGAGCTCAAATCTCACCTCTTTCTCTGTCTTCGGATAATGAAGATGGCAACAAAATAAAATAATAATTAGCTAGGAGGAGGAGGAAGAGGTTTAGTTTGTTAATAACTAATGGAACTTGCCCTTACCCGATGGATCTTTCTTCTTTCTTTCTGATCTTCTAGCTTGTTTGTTTGGCTGGAGATTGGCAAGCTAGCTAGATAGATAGCTAGGTCTGATCTTGAGAGGAATTTAGGAGTAAAGCATGAAAAAGGGTAAGTAAAATGAAACCCAAAAAAGGGAGAGATGGAAGAAAAAGGAAGGCTTCTTCTTCTTCTGCTTCTTTGTTCTTGAGATACAAAAGGGGAAGGAAGAGAGGGTTGAGGGAAGTTTTGGGGAGTGGTGTGGGTTGGTTCAAGAAAGGAAAGTCGGTTTTCCCTTTTTATAGCTAAACAAACAAACAATGATAGGTAGATGAATAATAAAGAGAAAGAAAGAAAATGAGAGAGAAGAAGAAGCAGACCATTTTATCAATACCAACCCAAAAAAGAAAACGCTATTAGTTGTAAAACTGTATTATTATGATTATTCCTTTTCAGTTTTCACATCTTTCTTTTTTGGGGAATTTTTTTTCTCCCTTCTAAAATTGTGGAGAAAGTAGCTGTGCAGTTTTTTTTTTTTTTTTTTTTTTTTGGGAATATGACCCACAGGGTGAAAGGGACTACTCTCTTTTAATTAAATGTTTTGAACACACGAACCACACAATTCATGCGAGGAGGCTCTTGTTAGGGGAAAATATCCGATATATGATTGAACTTTTCAAATTGGGGATGAGTATTATTGGAAAAAACTGTGCATCGGGTATGGCTTAGGGTGGTAATTGAAATCGAATTTGTGGGTACACAACCTCCGTAAAATTCAGTATTGACGGGTTTTGGATCGAGTGTGAATTTTACTTGTTCTTAAAATTCGTGGGTTAAATCAGATTTGGGTTTTTACAAACCTCAATCCGTTTTCCAACCGATCCTCATTCATAAAGAAAAATGATGTCATTTTGTATCTAACCAAAACAATATAAATAATATATGAATTAGATTAGAAATTTGATAACATGGATAATTTATGGATGTTAGTAGAATTTATTAGGGGTGGAGCTTCGGTTAGTTCGGTTATAACCGATAACCGATCGGTCGGTTATCGGTTAACCAAACTGTCGGCCCCCCTTGCCAACAACCGACTGATATAGGGATTTAGGCTTCGGTTATCTCGGTTTTCGGTTAACCAAAGCACCTCCAAGACCAAAATCATCTCGGCCAGCCTTCGAACACCGACCAAAATTCGGTTATCTCGGTTATCGGTTAGTGGATAACCGGTCAGTTATCGATTTGACCGACCGGTTAACTGGTAACCGAAACTCCAGCCCTAGAATTTATTAAGATATATTTGTAGGAATTTTTTCGATAACATTACGATGTGGGTCTTTGAATAAATAATGTATGGTTAGCAGTTACTGTTAACTGATTAAACTAACGGTTGCGGTTAGGTGTTTTAGCCTTTTATCGGTATCAGGCTATTAGCTAACACCTGGTCATTTTGGTTTAACCATAACCGAACCGTTTATCAGCCCTAGCTCTAGCCTTAGCCTAACTCTAGAGCTTCTTCTCTTCTTCTTTTCAACCTTCAAACTACTTCAATTGCTACCCTCCTTCTTTTCCATGGTAGGACCTGAGATTAGGAAAGAAATACAACTTAGCAAAGAATAAGATGTGAATGAACAAATTACGAGCCAAATGGTCAAAGACTCGTAAACCTCTTGCTAGATCCTAAGATATCAAGAATTAATAAAATATAGCACAATATCAATCCAAAATGACCGAGGTGTGATGATTATGACATTCAAACACCTAAGAAATAGGAGAAAAATAACACACATTTTAGGTGTTATCAATTGCAAGCACGAGAAACAACAGGGATCAAGGCCAAGATAGGTGAGCTCATAGCCAGGAGGTTCCATATCATGACCATAACGAAGATCATGGCCAATCGAGTTTAAGTGTTGCTGAAAATTGACGAAGCGACATCATATTAGAGGTCATGAATGAGGTTACGCTCTTAACATATGCCATGATGTGTCCCTATTGTGAATTCAAGGATAAGGTTTACTTTAATTTTTTATCAGAACATACCTTCTTGATTGATTAGATAGAAGTTCAAAGTAAATAATAGTACATCTAAATTCTAAAGATCCATATGAATACGACCTTTAAGCCACTATAATATGTCATTTAACTAGGGTGAACTTGTCCTAGAAAGGCAATGAGTTTAATTATAACTTTATTTCCAATCCATCATAGGATTCATAATTTTTTCTAATTGATTAAACAATTTTAGTACAGTTTCTACACCTCTACCTTTGTCGTCGACATCTGGTCTTCACCAATTGAAACTCGTTTATCACTGCAATTTGTCGCAGGCTCCACTCGAAATTTCTGATGTTGGTCGCATAAATTCTATCACTGGTCACCAAATTCCAGCTATCGATGGCCGAAAACTAGGTACCATAGATACAAACATTATTTATGAAATATAATCAATACAAATTTGATTTCCTAATTACTCCCATCACTGTCTACCCCAAACCTCTTAGATTCAAATGGACAGTTGCAGGCTCCCTTGGAATATAGGATTTTGGCTCTTTGACGGAAAGATAGGCCCCTTGGCTTTGACAAAAAAAAAAAAAATTCACCTGAGATTGAAGGTTCGGGTTTCTTGAGAGGTTCAAATGGACAGGTGTTATGCAATGGAGTGCTTATGACTCGATACAGAATTCAAGCTCTTTGGGAGCAATTACGCATTAGGCAGAAGAAAGTCCATTGGTTCAAGCTGGTTTGGCCGTTTGGGGGAAATGGCCTGTTCTCATGAATAGGTTTTTACTTTGGCTTGTGATTCATATAAAAGTTTACTTAGGGAAAAATGCAGAAGTGGGAATATGCAGGTGGTCTGGAGTGTATAGTGTGTCATCAAGCTAATGAGAGTTTTCCAGTGATCAGAGGTACCCCTAGGTATTGAACTGGAAATTCACCCAAAGGGAACTCTATAATCCTGGAAATCATTAATTGTTCTTCCTTTGATGTTCCAGTACAAACAAATTTCATTTATGTTGCATTTAAGTCCAGAATCTACATAGAATTTAGGGCTAATACCACTGAGAAATCCGAACTATCAAGAAAGTGTCACTTGTGTCCCGAATTATTCAATATGACATTTATGTCGTGAATTATTTTTTCATTAGTGTTGACCGAGTTTGATCGTCAATATTTAACAAGAAAATTTAGTCAGTGTCGACGTGGCATCTGATATGGAGTTTTAAATATTAATTTTTATTTATATTTTCATCTAAAATTATTAAAATAAAAAGTTATGAAAATCCCCAAAATCGTCTTAATCACTCCATCGATTTTGCTCCTAAGTCAACATCGAGTTGACCACCGTCTGATCAGCCGTTATCTATAATGGTTAACGAAATCGTCAGGACATAAATGACACACAACTACCATATGTTGAGACATAAATGAAATATTGAATATTTCGGGACACAAATGACACTTTCTTGATAATTCGGATTTCCTAATGATACTAGCCCTAGAATTTATACAATAGTCTTTTGATTCTAGCCACTGCCCTAACCGACCCATTAGTGAAAACGAGGAGGCCATTCACGAAACACAGGTGAGTTGTCTCTAATGCTTTACACTTAGGGTAATAAAGGATCTGCTCTGTAACGACAGCTTGACTCATAAGACAGGAGAAGTACTCCATAGCCATGATGAACAGATATGGAGAGTGGAGGTCTCCTTGACGAAACCCCATATATATATGTTGGGAAATATCCACACAAACCCCATTAAAACTGTTTGAGCCTATTTGGGTGTAGGAGTGAGACTCGGGAAGATGGGTCAAGGAGAGCAAGCAATGAGAGAGTAACTGTCGATGGAAGAACTGAAGAAATTACGATTAGAGTTGAGAGGGAAAATCTTTAGAGAGAGAAGTTGATAACTTTAGAGATAGAGCCAGAAAAATCCGATCCCCTCACCCACTGGAGTAAATGCTCTATTTATAGGCTACATGGTGGTGGGTGAGGGACATGGTGACATGACCACTGACATGTCAGAAGACTAGACCATGCTCCTACCTAGGACAAGTACATCTAGCCTTTTATTATACCTAGGACTAGGGCTGTGATGTGACCACTCGATAAACGAGACGCGGCATCGTTTTCCACACTTGCTGGCTTGGTCAGCGGCGCGCTTGGACGTCGTCGTTCGGTGTTCGGCCTCTTTAGTCGCGTCGGTGCTGAGGTGCGTGGCGCTCTTGGTGAATGCGCTTGCCAGTGTGTTTTCCTGTTCGCGCTCCTTTACTTGGACGCTCTCAGTGTTTCTCTGGCGCAGCGGGATCCGAGTCACATACCCAACAAAAATAAATACTGACCATAGGATAGTTAAAACAAGCTTCAACCCATTTAACATACTCTTCAAGGAATCCCATTGCTGACATTATTTTGAATAAAGCTATCTAATTCACTTAATCAAATGTTTTCATCAAGTCAATGTTAAGCACACTTTTAGATGGAACAGTTGTTCTATGGTAGTCTTTCACTAATTCTGACCACTCACACTTTTAATATGTATCTAAGAGGAAACCTTTTTGAGCCACATGTCAACAAAACATGTGCACGCGTAAGGTGCGACTTTTTACACTCCCCAAACTGAACATAAATAATCCTATTAATTAACTTAAGCTATCGTACAATCCCTACAAATGATATT